CCCTACAGAATTTGACCCCAGACCACTTCTTCTGTGCGGTGGTTGGTGACCCAGCTTTGCATGGCCCATCCCCTGCCCTACCACTGGTACATATTGTGGCTTAGCCTTGCCAGGCAGGCCCCATCCCTGGCTTTTATGTGTGCCGTCAGGCAGCGTGTGATGCCACCTAACCCAATCCAGGTCTCCCACTTGAGCAACTGCACTGGACTAATCCAGACCTGCCCTCCACTTTCCTCACTAAACCATCTGGTCTCAACTCTCTTGTTTTACCTGTGAGTGCAGTAGCCCAGTTTTTGTAAGCCCCCAGGTAATTCCACATCTTGTAAAGTACTCCCTCAGTGGCCCTACTGCCACACACCCCCAAACTCCTTTCCCAGGCAGTCCACAGCCTCCCCCAACCCCACTGGCACAAGGCCTGGGGGTCATCTTCCACTTATCTTTTAAAAAATAATAATAGGCAACTGTGCTGGCACACTGATATCAAATATCAAAATTAACACAAATTTGACATTGACCAAGTCTAGAATGCCCACTAGCTGTTATTGGCTGCTTTTCTCCCAGCAGTGTAACACTTGCCTAGATGGATAAAGCAGATAGAGACTTCAATAAATTGACCTGAAACAAGGAAGGAAAATAAAATTATGATACAATCTGGGGTATTTCAAGAAGGTTCATGGAGCAAAGGAACTAAAAGCAAAGTTTACTTTGGTGCAAAATATTTATAATCCAGGCATATTTTTTCATAATGTGTACTTTCCATGCATTTTCTTTTTTAAGCTTTATTTATCTATATCTTTGTATCTACCTATCTGTTTATTGATTGATTTAATGGAAACTCAGATTTACAGACAGGAGAGACAGAGAGAAAAGAATTTCTCTCTGCTGGCTCACTCCCAAAGTAACAGCAACTGCTGGAACTGAGCTGATCTGAGACCAGGAACCAGGAGCTTCTTCTTGATCTCCCACGTCGGTACAGGATCCCAAGGCTTTGTGCCATCCTCAGCTGCTTTCCCAGGCCACAGGCAGGGGGCTGGATGGGAAATGGGACAGCTGAAACACAAACCAGTGCCATATGGGATCCCAGTACGTGCAAGGCAAGGACTTTAGCCACTAGGTTATCATGCTGGGCCCTCCATGAACTTTTTAAACATATCTCATATACACGGATTTTTATTTTTTCTTGCAGTAGAATAAACTTAGCTTTTCAAAAAGTTTTTTTTTTAAGGTTTGTAAAAAGTTACTTGAAAGGCAGAGTTACAGAAAGTGACAAGGAGAGAGTGTTTTGCTCCTTAAAAGGTTGCAATGGGCCAGACCAGGCCAGACTGAAGTCAGGAGCCTAGAGTTTCATCTGGATCTCCCACATGGGAGCAGGGTCCTAAGCACTTTGGCCATCTTCCTTTGTTTTCTTTTCCAGACACATTAGCTGAGAACCTGATAGGAAGTAGAACAGACAGGGCTCAAACCAGTGCTTAAAAGGGATGCTGGCATTACAGGCAGAGGCTTAACTCCTAAACTTGACTTTTAAATTCCATTTTTCCATGAATGTTTTGAAGTACCCCATATAAAAATTCTAGTTGTCAGGATGATATTCTGCCAGCTCTGCCTTCAGACTGGAGATGGTCTCCCAAAGAAACTGTTGAATTTATCTGGACAGTCAGATGCTGGACTCTATGCTTGGTATATGTTTGTAATGAAAGAATCTTAACTGAATTTGAACTGTAATACTGCAACAAGGTGGGGGAATCCACCATGGGGGGAGGGCACAAGAAGGGGTTGGGGGAATCCCAGAGCCTATGAAACTGTCACATAATGCAACGTAATTAATAATAATAAAAAATGCCTCAAAAAAATTCTAGTTGTGTTAAAAACCTAACTATGTGACTAGCACTGTGATATGTGTTAAGCTGCCACTTGTAACACTTGCTTCCTACATGGGCAACAGTTCACACCCAAGTTGCTCTACTTCCAATCCAACTCCCTGCTCATGTGCTTAGGAAAGCAGCAGAAGATGGTCCAAATGCTTGGGCTCTGCACCCACCAAGGAGACCTGGAAGAAGCTCCTAGTTCTTCACTTCAGCCTGCCTGGCTCAGCTGTTGCCAGTGTGGCCATTTGAAGAGTACACCAGAGGATGGAAGACTCTCCTTTTCTTTCTCTCTGCCCTTCAAATAAATAAAATAAATCCTTAATAACACCACCACCAAACCTAACCATAGATCTTAAAGCTACTATTAGAAAGAATATTCTTTTTTGGCTAAAAAGGGACTTTTATTAATGATGACTTTTTCTTTTTAGTTCACATTTCAGAAGACCCTATAGACAAAATAAAAAGACAAATCTCAGATTTAGAGATGTTTGTAATGAATAGCTGACAAAATTTGATGTGCAGCATAAAGTATTCCCTGCAGTTCATGAAAGTAGAAACATAACCGCATTAAAAATCAACAAAAGGTTATGTTTAAACTTTTTACAAAACACAAAATACAAACATGGAAAGTTCTTAACCTAGTAATGGTAACACCAATTGTACAATCACATACTCATAAGATATACAGGCATTAAATGGATGAAACAACTATGAGGGATTTTTTATATGTATACATCTTTAGATTTATTTGTTTGAAAAGAGTTAATGGAGAGAGAAAGAAAAAAACAGAAAGGTCTTCCATCCATTGGTTCACTCACCAAATGGCCATGATGACCAGGTATGGGCCAGGTCTGGAACAGGCCAAAGCCTGTATATAGGTGCAGGGACCCAAGCACTTCAGCCATTATCCTCTGCTTTTCTCAGATGTATTAGCAGGGAACTGGATCAGAAAAGTCTTGAACCAATGCCCAAATGGGTGCTGGAATTGTGCAGCGTAGCTTTACTCACTATGCCACAGTGCCAGCCCCAAAGTGACTATTTTAACAAAGATGTTAGAATCTTTGATACACCCTCTTATTCTGCTAGTGGGAGAATGAATTAGCCCAGACACTCAGGGGAGCTATTTTCCAAGATCTAACAAAGGTGAAGCATACCCAAACACCTGGAAATTTTTCCTGTAGTATATACTTGAGAGAAATACCCTCCTATAAATGCACAAGGAAGCAAACAGAGAAATATTCATCTGTAATAATAGAATTTTAACCACTATCCATCTATTATGAGTTCATTTGTATATTTGCACAATGTGATTATATAACAGTTAAAATCAGTGAACTAGTCCTATATGTATAATATAAATGGATCCCTCACCAATATTAATGAGGAAGGTGCTAAAAGGTATGCCTGTTATAATATCATATAAATATATATATGCACATATATACATATATCACATTGAACAATATTATATACTACTTGTATATATCTAATGTATAGGAATGTTATGCAAGCTTAAGCAGGTTCCTAAATGCCAGTCATGACAAAGGTTACTTCTAAGGAAGTATGTAAAGGATGAGGGATACAAATACAGATAAAGAAGAGAATGTTAAGAACTGATAAGTCTGAGTGATGGCAGCATGGTCTATTTTGGATCTAATACTTTTTTATATACTTAAAATTGTTCATAGTAAATACTTTAAAAATAAATCATGAAATGGTTTCATAATTATATGTGTACTTTTTAAATTTAACATTTTTTAATCATGAGGATATGTGAGAACCTCTCTAAAAATTATCTTTAATGTGTTCTGATTCTTGTTCGTGAAAGAGTTTATAAAAACAATCTTGTTACAAGGAGCTGGTACATTAATAAAAAACCAAATCTAATGGCACATTCCTCTCTGTTAGCAAATTAACATGACTAAGTACTGTGAAGAACCATAAAATTAACTCATTTTCACACACTCTTTCAAATGTTGACACTCTCAGAGCTACATTTACATGTCTCATAAATGTTGAAACTCCAGTGTAAGATCAATAGAAACTTTCTTTGGCTTGAGTTTGCAGAAATGTCTAACAGTGAAAGAGTTACTTCTAATATTATTCTAGAATCTATTACAACTTTTATTTTTTTGCTTTCAGTAGCTTTATTTTCTGTGAACTACTTTCTTTCTTCATTTTCTCTATGAGATTCTTGCCTGAAATTTGAGCAAACATTTATATTATCATTGACACATTCTTCAGAAGTTGTATTATATCTTTATTTTGTTAGATAAGGTTTAGTTCAAGTGTTTAGGAAGAAACTTAGCCACAGAAAGGTGAATAAATTTTTTTTTCTTAGGTTATAGAAGAAAAAGATAGAAATCTGAATATTTTGCATTGTTTCATTGTTTACAGTTTTTCACAGCATACGTGACACAAAGTGAAATGACGACTTTTGAAGGAGATTTTAGGTGCTGTTGTTATGTAGCAGTCTAGCGTACGTTTGGGTTTCTTTAGTGGTGAGACCGTTTTCATTGCATAGGATGGATGAGCTTAAATGGCAGGAACATGAGCAGAAAGTGCACTTTATACATGTTTCAGTCAGCATGTTGCTGCTGACAGGTGCTCAATGGTTGTTGATTTCCTTGTCAGCAAAGAGAATCCTTTGACATTAAAGTCACCAGCTCAGTCTGGTTTGGGTGACTCTATTGGCAGTTCCATCAGGCTGCAGCCGATCATTGAATGTCACAGCTGCTGCTACTGTCACCATCCCTGTTTTTTTTTTTTTTTTTTTTTTTTTTTTGAGGAGGGGTGGCTTAGCTTGTCTTGTTCATTCCTAACTGGACTTTCAAATTGCTTACCTCTGGGAAATGAACTGAGAGTTCATAAGGAATCTAAGTGTCTTTAGGCCATACAAAGCCATATACAAGTGATGACTTACAAGGGGACTAGTAATGATTACCTTGACTCCAAGTCAATCAATGGAGAAGCACCTGGGGACTCATTAAATGGCATTTGTGGTATCTGTAACTGGAGTTTTGAGCTGTATTTCAGAAAGAGCTGTGACAGCCTTTAATGTCTATTTGACCTCTTCTCTTTGTTTCACTTTTGTTCACTTTCCATATTTGCCTCTTGTGCGGTCCCTGATGGCAGCAAACTGCACTGCTCAGCATTTTGAACTTCTGTTCGGAGCTTCAGCACCTCAGTTTGGGCAGCTGTGTAATGGTAAGTATTTGAAAATTCTTTTTGCTCAGTTGCTTGCTCCCTTTTTCTTTCCATGGGTGAAATTATTCTGCGTCGTCCCTCCTCGTGCTCAGCTACAATTTCTTGAGTTTTTATGAACTACCATATGCCCCAATTTCAAATATTTTTCTTAAATTGGAGTATGTCAGTCAAACACTGACATTTACCTATGCAAGAAAAGCAGGCTAGTATGATAGAAAGGGTTCGGTCAAGCCAAATGTTGTCTCAAGATGAGCTATTTACTTCTCTGGGGTTCTTTGTAAAATATTTGCAGATTTTCCACATAGCTAATTTTAGTCCTAAAACTATAAGATTATTTGTTTAAATGTTGCTAATGGCAAATAGGCAATTTTGTTTTACTCTCCTTGTTGGGAAAAATTAAACAATGAACACCCTGTGCTGGAATTCAGTTTTCTCTGAAATTTTGCTGACTTTTTTTTTAGATTTCTTTATTTTTACTAGAAAGTCAGATATATACAGAAAGGAGGAGAGACAGAGAGGAAGATCTTCCGTCCACTGATTCACTCTGCAAGCAGCTGCAACGGCTGGAGCTGAGCCAATCCAAAGCCAGGAGCCGGAGCTCTTTCTGGGTCTCCCACGTGGGTGCAGGGTCACAAGGCTTAGGGCCTTCCCCTAGTGCTTTCCCAGGCCACAAGCAGGGAGCTGGTTGGGTAGTGGGCTGCCAGGATTAGAACTGGTGCCCATAGAGGATCCTGGCCTGTGCAAAGCGGACACTTTAGCCACTAGACTACCATGCCAGGCCCTGAAATTTTACTGACTTCTAAAATCCAAAATCTTAGAAACTATTGGACTAGATAATCACTAACATCCTTCCAGATTTAAAATTTTGATATTTACATTTCACAGAAACAGCTTGAGTGAATAGATGGATCTTTTTAATGTAAACTATGCCATTCTATAGCTTATATATAATACTGAGACTGAAGTGACAATTGATGTGGGAGAGGTGTGTGTGCGTGCACTCACTCATACAAGCTCATTGGAAGTGAGTTTTCTGGGGTCTGGGCTGTGGGCACCAGAGGTTGAGCCTCTTTTCACAGTACCCACATCCCAAACGGGCACCAGTTTGAGTCCTGCTGCTCTGCTTCTGATCCAGCTTCTTGCAAGTTCTCCGGGGAAGGCAATGAAGGAGACCCAAATCCTCAGGCCCTGTACCCACATGGGAGACCTGCAGGCTCCTGAATCCTAATTTCAGCCTGGCCTACCATAGGAAATTTTGGGAGTGGACTATCAGATGGAAGATCTCTCTCTCTCTTTCTCTCCTTCTGCCACTTCCTTCCCCCTCCCTTTCTTTCTCCTTCCCTTTCTTCCTCTCTTTAACTCTTTAACAAAAAAAAAAAAAAAAAGAAGAAGAAGATTTCATAGTGAGTCTTCCTGCGTTTGGAGCAATCCTTTCCTCTTCACTTCTTTCCTTCCCCCTACCCTAACATTCTGCCACAGCAGATTTAGGAACTCCCTTAATCATTTCCAGTTTTGCATCTACTTAGTAATAAGACTTGAAGAAGCTGCAGTATTCTGTGAAAGTTCTGGTATCAAAGTTTGGAATCAACAAGCAATTTTCCATGACCCAAGAGATCTCATCAAAGAGTTTTTTTAGTGCTCAGCAGTGGCTTTATACATTTCCCGAGATTTGGTTACATAGACTATCTGGAACTTGTAGAATGATTTTTGTCTCACTGTCCCTATGGTCTTTCATTCTAGTGTTAGGGCTCATTAAAACCTGAAGTATGCTCTGAGAGCAATTCTTGATATCTGGATTCAGACCTTCTCATTTTCCAGAAATAATCTGAGACATCAACTAAACTCTTACTTTTAGTTAAATTGTTACCTTAATAAGCCATTTCATAGGCTTCTGAGTGCTCACCTTAGTGGCTCTTCTAGATGAACCTGGTGACATGTGATTGAAGTAATTTAAAGTTGAACAAATTAAAATTGTAACATTTAGCTAACATTTTCTTTGACTTCCATCTAACTGTGTGATACTGGTCAAGTCACCTAACTTCTTGATGATATTTCATTTGTGACATTTGTCAAATTTTTAAAAATTAGATAATAAGTAAGAATATAAATATATCTGATCTTTTAGAAATGAAAGTTCTATATGATTTCTGTAATTCAGACAGGGTTATAATTATCAAGCAAAGAACAGGTTGCCTCCAATTTAAAAAGAGATTTTGATTCTTGTTTTTTCAGCAGAATTTCTTTGTGATTGGTGTACTTAATAATGTTGTGAAAATTTTACATATAGCCTAAATTAAACTCTTGATAACCTAGTCACTGAAGTCCTCAGCTTGCATGCTACAGCATCCTGTATGGGTGACGGTTCATTTCCCAGCTGCTCAACTTCCCATCCAGCTCCCTGCTTGTGGCCTGGGTAATTAGTCGAGCACAGCCCAAAGCCTTGGGTCCCTGCACCTGCATGGGAGACCCGGAAGAAGTTCCTAGTTCCTGGCTGTGGATTGGCTCAGTTCTGGCCGTCGTGGCCACTTGGAGAGCGAACCAATGGACAAAAATTCTTTCTCTCTGTCTCTCCTATCTGTAAATCTGTTTTTCCAAAAGTAAGAAATAAATGAATCTTTAAACTAATAATAATAATTCCTTCGATAAATTCCTTCAATAAAAATTATTGAAGGAATTTCACAGTGCATAGTTTGCCAATGGAAAATTCGGTCCATATACCATGGAGATTGTCCTGGTACAAGATCAGGGGAGTCAAAATCATGAGATTCAAAGTTTTTCATTTTCTTGTCTCAAAAGATGCTAATAAGCTGCACTAATTTGCAAAGTTCTAGGTTTTTTTTTTTTTAAGATTTATTTTATTTTCATTGCAAAGTCAGATATACAGAGAGAAGGAGAGAGAGACGGGAAGATCTTCCATCCACTGATTCACTCCCCAAGTGACCGCAAATGGCTGGTGCTGCACTGATCCAGAGCCAGGAGCCAGGAACTTCTTCCAGGTCTCCCACATGGGTGCAGGGTCCCAAGGCTTTGGGCTGTCCTCAACTGCTTTCCCAGGCCACAGACAGGAAGCTGGATGGGAAGCGGAGCTGCCAGGGTTAGAACCAGGAACACATATAGGATCCCATTGCATGCAAGGCAAGGACTTTAGCAGGTAGGCCACTGCTCCAGGCCCAAAGTTCTAGTTTCATATGGTCATGTACACCCAGGGAAAAAAAGTAGGTTCTATCAAGCCTGTCGCTGATGGACTTTGACATGATTCTACAGATATAGATGCCTTAGAAATCATCACCAGCATATCTAAACTGTCAGCCTTTGGCTGTTGCTTGAGAGTATAGCCCTGTATCTTCCCAGCTTCTCTGATACCACTGTCACTACATTAAAATTTGAGTCCTCATTGTCTCTCCATGAGGGTGCTACAGGCCTCTTCACTGGGCTTCCATAAATTATACTGGGCCCGTCTTTTGTTTAAAACCTTTTACTTAATTCCTTAGACTTTAAAATACAATGGCCCAGTCCCTCTAACTCTGCTACAAGACCCTGCCTGCTCCCTCATCTCCCATGGGCTATACCCATCTCATCTCACACTGCTTCTCCACTCCTGACACTCTTAACCACTCTCACACTACTTTGTTTTGTTGTTTTTACACCTTTCATCTCTCTCTGAATTTATTTTGCTGATATCTCTAACTGGTATGTCTTTCTGTTAAATGGATACAAAGTCTTTGCCTTCTGGTTTAGTGCTTTTTCTACCAACTGGAGTAGTACTGACCCGTACTACTAGTGGCTAGAAATGGGAAATGAACAAAAACATATGATCATTGTAATTTACTATTTTGTTTCCTTTTGGCTTCTGGTAATGATTTTGATATGTGTTATAAAACAAATGAGTCCCTTGAAAGAAGTATTCTAAGGCACATTTTAAAAACCTGTAAGACCGAAGAAGTGAAATCTTAAGCCTCAATTATTAAAAACTTATCATGTAATCATGAGATAAGAATTGCACACCTCAAATAACTGACAGTGGTTAGCATCTAATCATCGAAAGTTTCATATTGATGTCAGTCCCAAATGCCTTAAGTTCACCCCAATCTAGTATCTTTGTTAGTACTGTCAATATTTCTGCACATTTTAAAGCCTGGCAAATACATATCTATGTCAGGCAGATCACTGTTAGCTAGCAAAGTCTACTAATCGTGTATAAAGTGCAGTGGAGTGGGGCTAGTCTTGTGGTACTGCAGAATAAATCATTACTTGCAACCCCAGCATCCTCATATTAGAGTGCAGATTCCAGGCTGGATATTTCACTTTTCTTCCAGCTTCCTGCTAGTGCACCTGGATAAGCAGTCAGTGATGGGCCAAGTACTTGCATGCCTTGTCATTCCCCCGTGGAAGACCCAGATGGAATTCTTGGCTCTGCATATTGCCCTGGCTCATACCTGGCTGTTGCAGGTTTTTAGGGAATGAACAGCAGGTGGAATCTCTGTCTCTGTCTCTGTCTCTCTATCTCTCTCTCTTTCACATACATACTGTTTCACCTTCTCTCACACTTTTTTCCCTTTTTTTTTTCTAATATTTTATTTTAATTCTATGTCTCTGGGATTCCCCCCCAAATTCCCTCCTCCCACTGATTTCCCCCATATTATTATAATTAGTGTAGCCTTCATAAGCAGTCATAAGTCCATTCACACTTTCTCTTTGTCACTATGGCTTTCAAATGAATAGGTAAAATAAATTCTTAGAAGACGACAGAAGATATCAGACCTTGTCAGCAAGTAGCAGCAACGAGGTAAAGATGGTGGTCGTAAAGGGATAACACATAATCCTCAAATTCTTCATCAGAGTCTGAGGACCTCAGACTGCCTTGGAACTTAATTCTTTAATGTCTGACTGGAATTCTGTTAAATGAATTTGTGAGTAAGTAAGTGATTCCCTTTGTTGTCTTAGGAAGCGTAGAGGTCTGTGAGATGAGTAGGCATATCTGTATTGACAAGAATGTAGGTGTGTTTATGTGGAGGAAATGCTTTGGATTGTTTTACTTGCTCTAAGGTGTCTGCATTTCTGAGTGCTACACGTACAAGATTGGAATTGTTTGATTTCCAGATTGAAGACTACGATGTGGTAGCTAGTATGATTGGAGCTAAGTGCAAGAAGCTCCGGACCCTGGATCTCTGGAGATGCAAAAACATCACTGAGAATGGAATAGCAGAACTGGCTTCTGGGTGTCAGCTGCTGGAGGAACTCGACCTGGGCTGGTGCCCCACTTTGCAGAGTGGCACAGGCTGTTTTGCCCGACTCGCGCGTCAGCTCCCGAACTTGCAAAAACTCTTTCTTACAGCCAACAGGTCTGTGTGTGACACAGACATTGAAGAACTGGCATGTAATTGTACCAGATTACGGCAACTGGACATACTAGGTAAGGATATAATATCCACGGATACATTTGTTTTAAAGTCCCATTTCTTGACACAAAGACCAATCTTCAACTTTTGCATAGCTTATTGAATACAATTAAATAGGACTAGTTTGTTTGATGGGAAGTATAAAATTAGTTTATCTCAACTGGTATTATGTAAAATAGGAGGGTAATAACATATTTTTGTATTGAAACATCTCAATAACCACAAATTCTTGATCTAGTTAAAAGAGTAAGGATTTACATGAATCCTAATCTCTATTTTTTTTCCAGGCTAGCAAGGAAGAAATGAGTTCATTGGTGTAATGAATTCATGTTAGATTTTGTTGTTATTGTTTTTGAAAATCTTCCTAATGTTAAACTCTTGATCTGGGAATACTGTGAAGTCCCATCCTTGGTCTTTCTAGTTTTTAAGAATAGGAAGGCCTATTGAAATGCCTTTCCAGGTCTGGGATTCTGTGGGTCGTTACTGTATTCATCAGCAAGGAACCTATGACATTTTGTTATGTGCCTCTTTTATGAGACAGATGCTAATGGTTCCATTTCATTCTAATTTACCACAGTGGCACTTGAATTAAGTTTCCTAATAATCTACTTTGTGTTTTGTGTTTTGTATTTGTATTTGTTCCTTCCCAATTTTTTAATATTTAAAATAAAAACAAATCTGAAGCTTTTCAACACGTATATATTTATGATTTCAGCTAAAATTTCTCACAGCCCAGGTTTCTAGTTCATTTGTATGAGTGCTTGTATAGTCAGATATTAACTTATTCAGGCTGCTTTTACACAAAGATTCTGACCCAAAAATCTTTGCAGAAACTCTTGCCTTTACCTGCATACTTAGGGCAAAACACTTACATCTGTGCTGTACTTGGTCTTCACAGGTTAGAGAGCTCTTTGTCTTTTTCAGAGCCGGGGGAACGGTGCTCCTTTGTATCTCCTGTCAGAGTACCTGTTTGAGTTCTGGTGGTCCCACTTCTGATCTAGCTTCCCACTAATGCACCTAGGAAGGCAGAGGATGGCGGCCAAGTACTTGGGCACAGGCACCCATGTGTGAGACTTTGATAGAGTTCCAGGCTCTTGACTTTGTGGGCCAGTCCCAGTCTGTCTGTCTCTCTCTCTGTCTCTCTTCAATCCTTTCAAATAAATACATCTTTAAAGTGTGTAAAAATAAAATAAATATGAACTTTACTTCAAAATTTAGTGCTATTATTAGTTAACATTTGTTTTACAATTCTCGTTGCCCCCTACGCTGCCCTGGAAGATGATGTACTAAGCACACTAAGTAGGCGTTGTAGCTGATATCTGGGAGAGATGCTGCATGCCACAGCGTCAGGAGCATTGACTCTAAATAAGTGCATAGCTGTGATGGGCAATGAGATGGTTGGTTGTCAATGGGAGTAACTTGGGCTTGTTAAATGTTGGATTATTCACCAGTACATTAAAAGTAGGTATGAAATATAATTACTTCTTTTTTTAAAAAATTAACTTTCATAATGAAAAGATCTGGGAAATAGCTTTATTTATTATACCATAACTAATTACTGGAGGAAAATAGTTATCATGTGTGTATGTGTATAAAATTCACTGTCTTATTTCAAATGCAAGGAACCCAGCAATCAATAGAAAAAATAATAATAGCACTTTTCTGCATGCTATATTCTATTCCAAACATATATTCACTAATTTAGTCACAAGCTTATAAGGTCGCTATTAGTAACCACATACAAGAAAATAGACACAAGCAAATGAACAGATTCACTCAAGATCTCACAGAAACAGTGCCAATCCAGATTCAAACCAGGGGTTATGATCCTAGCCATTACACTGTATTTTCTTTACTTTTGTTGTTGCTTTTTGATTTTTACTTCATCTGTAATTATGTAAGCTGGATTCTTAGGTGAAGCTGATAGTAATTATTTTGTCTGTTGTGATCATAGCATGTAAGTGTTAAGTGGAATACTTTTGTCAAACTGCAAACACTGATCCTCAGTACAAAACTGATGGAGTAGTATGCTTTCTACATTCACATAATTTTATAACCTAGCAAAAGAAGACAAATACATAAATAAATGCTAGTGCAAGCCAGTGGTGAGTCCATTTGACAGAACTCAGAAAAACAGCATGTGCTTTTGGGAGAAATAGAGCAAAGCTTTATTAAAAATTTTCAAGACTATCATTAAATACTGACTAGGAAACGAGGGGAGAAAAGGCATGCTAGGCAGAGTGAGTCCTGTGAAACAAAGATGACGAGAATTCCTTACTCATGGCTTAAGAGTTTTTACAATGATGCAGAAGTTATAACGCACTCAGTAAAAACTGACTGTACTTGGAATTTTTCTCTTTTGCTGGCTAGCGATGCATGGTAATGATCCTCCCTTGCAGTGCTGCACAGTGCCAGCAGCCGTTCATGTAGCTCTGTCAGCCAGGCAATCGGGAGGAGAAACAGCCAGTACTGTGCCCTGTACTATGTCACTAAGCCATGGTGTACCATAGGTAGGCATGTGAAATAGATTTTCAGCTTGCAGTACTTTAAATTTTCTATGGGCTTATTGGGATGTGACACTGGTACACTGAGAAGCACCCCTGTAGGAGCTAGAAATATGGAATGCCTTCAGAGCACAGTGTACCTTGAGTGGCAGTGCAATGGAAGGTCTCCTGGAGAGTTCTGGACACTGCGACGAAGAATCTGCACAAAATTAAATAAGTCAGAGCTGTAGGACTTTAGTTAGAGGAAGGGATGATAAAGCCAGCACTATGTTTTAGGAATATTAATCTGGAATCATATAGCAGGTAGATTGAAGAAGGAAGAGATCAAATTTAGAGATTTGCTGCACTAATGCATTTAATGTGAGTCCAGGGAGATTGTATTGGAAACTTAACCACCATCCCTTCATTTTTTCATTCATTCCACATTTATTGAGCAGGTATTATGCCAGACATTGTTTTAAGCACTGGAGATATGACAGTGAACAAGATAAATAGGGCTTCTGCCCTGACAGAGCAAGGTGAGACATAACCATGTCCTAAGTAGATAAAACAATAATAGAAGTATGTCAAAGTTCTTTGAAATCATAGGACAGAGGATCCTTACCTGGTGAAGTCTGACTTTCTTCCTAGGCATTCTCTTGGGATTTAGGGACCTCCTAGTTCAGATTCTAATTGGGCAATACTGGCAAATAGAAAAACAATCATAACCCTAGAGAAAATACCACTTAGGTGGCTATGTCCGTGGTGAAGTTCTGTGATGTAACATCATTAATCCCACTTAGTAAGATAAGCTACAAGTATAGAAGATTCCAGGGGAAGGAACTATGCATGGCTCTCAAAAGACATAGAAGTCATGTCCTCTTCCTTCCTATTCCTGTTTTGCATGCTTAAACACCTGCCCTGGCTCATGCCTTCTCTTGCTGTACATACCAAGACTTTCTGTCTGCTTTTCTTCTTGGTTTTGCATCATTTTTTCTCATTTTATTAGCTATTTTTTGCTTCTCTGTGTATACATGGCCAGATATAACAGCCCCAGCCCAGCTTTACATGCCTTCGTTCAAGGGATCTGTACACATTGAAGCTTCCCCACATTGAAATTGCTGGGAGAATACGCACTAATTCATCTTGGAGCTAGTCCCAATCAGGGTGATAGTACACTTAAAATTTCTGTAGGCCACGACAGCAGGAGGAATAGAGAAGAGATCTCAGAGACTATAGATAGGTTAACATTTCAGAAAATTTAAAACTCTTCCTGTGGGATATTTGTATGTGCTGTGATTGTGATTGTTGCTCCTCAAAATGCTACCTTAAAGCAAAATATGTTTTACAAGTGATAGCCTCTTATCCTTAATAAGTCTGCCACGTAAGGGTGTTTTCTACAATTTAGCATACAATGAAGTATCCATAACCAGATATGGGATACATAGAACTCATCATCCATCATCTTTTTCTGGTAGAATCATTTTTTATTCATTGCTGACTATAAAACAAACCAAATTGACATGGAGTTAGAGGTTGAATTATAGGTGTTGTTGCCTGATTTGGCCTTAATACTAAGGAAAATGAGATGTGGAAACCACTTGTAACTGGGTGAAAAAACTAAGAATGTCTGGAGGAGCTGACTTGAAAAGACAGAAGGTAGGAACAGAAAGTGATGAATACAGGATCGACCACCTTTAGGACCTACGTGCCAGATTTCTGGAGAATTTTAATGCTTTATGTTTTAACAGGCTTGATTCAGTATGAAGTATTTTCCTTAAAATAAAATTTCTTCTTTGTTAGGTCCTTTTGCTTACTATAAATAATGTGCTATATAATTTAAAAGACCTAGAAAATAGAATTTTGTATGCTTTCATTATAAACAAAAGTTAAATGCTTACAAAGGTAAATATATTGTACCCTGATTGTTTATTACACCATATATACCTCTAATGAAATGTTACATTAATACTTTTTATATCTGAAGTTTTTAATCAAAAATAAAATATTATACATAATAAAATATTTTAAAGTGGTCATTTGCTATAATTATACCGCCAACAAGAATAAGGAAACTCATTAGGAAACCTTATAAATGTTGTATTTAACATGTTTTGTTTTGTTTGTTCAAACAGGAACAAGAATGGTAAGTCCAGCAGCCTTGAGAAAACTCCTGGAATCTTGTAAAGATCTTTCGCTACTTGATGTGTCCTTCTGTTCCCAGATTGATAGCAGAGTTGTGCTGGAACTGAATGCTAGCTTTCCCAAAGTGTTCATAAAACAGAGCTTTACTCAGTGACTTAGCTGTGTTCTGTGATAAAAATTAATGTGCTTTTTGTAGGGTTTTGTGAGACTAGTTTTATTTATAATGGTGAAAATTGAGATCTTTGTGGATTTTAAAGAAAAATATCAAGTTGCTCATTAAATTAAGTAAAAAATATAAACAAATGTTCAAATATTTTCACAAAATATGTAAGCACCTTTCTTCAAAAACATGTAAATGGCTGATATTATTTTTGCCTGTGTTCATCAGTGATGGTAGTTTAGTGACTGTGTGGTTAATAAATAAATGATCTGGAAAAATTTTAACTTATTTTTAAAGGAAGTACTTTGAAGAGTAAAGTGTCATGATATTATACATAAATAAATTTAATTTTTCACACCTCCATGTGAAGATGCTTATTAAGCCTTATGACCTGGCAAGTGTTTTATTTGATATGTACAAAATTGTCAGAGCTAATTGGAGGAAGGGAGGGGTGTGTTTTTCATCTGTGAGGGTTTATTTTAAGCTGATACATTACCTGATCAAGTAGAAAATTTGTAGTCTCTCTACTTTTATTCTAATATGTTTATCTATTTCACTTCTGGATAATTCCAACAGAAAAATGGATATTATCAAGAATAAGAACATACTACTAAATGAAATCACTTTCTTTTAAGTGGATGCCTTAAAATTTTGCCAGAGGGGAATATTTAAGGCTTATGAATTCTTTATGGATTTTTGTGTATATGAAATATTATTTATTTAATTTACATATACACGTGTAATTTTTCCCAGTGTTTCAGCACTTGATATAGTTAGAATTCAGGTAGGAAGAACAGTATAAGGGACAAGAAATAAAAATGAAGCTTCGTTTTGTTAATAAATTGAGTTAATTCTGCTACAAAGAAATAGCTGAAAATATTTTGTGCTGTGAGAAGGCGGGGCTGTTCTGAATACAAAGCTAATATTAACTGTGTAGTATAACAAAATCCACTTTCCCACTCAAGGTAAAATGTTGTATTCCGAAGTTGACATGTCAAAGACTGATCCTTTCTGACTGTGCTGTTAACAAGAGCCACCAGCCATGTGTGGCTATTTGATTTTGGTTAACTTAAATTCAATTAAAAATTCATTTTCTCAGTTTATATGAATCATGCTTCCAGTATTCGGTACTCACAAGAATCTAGCAGTTATGTTGGATAACACAAATGGAAAACATCGCTCTTATCATGGAAACTTTTATTAGATAACAGTACCCTACAATCTCTCATGTCACAAGATTTATTCTGTTATACAAAACGCATTTAGTTCTGAAATTACCACCATGTATATGTGCGTATGATTGAATACAGACAAAGTTGAGTGTGTTCTGAGTAGTATGTATATGATAAGCACTATTCCACACAAAGCTACTACATTTGTACATATGGCAAACAGTAGACATTCAGTAAATATTTGTTGAATGAATAAGAATATACACATATTCAGCCAAATGTCAATTTTTAAATGTAAATGTTATGCATTACTAATTTTACTATGTTTATTCTTTTGTAAAATGTAAAAAATGTGACTTTGTTACATTTAGAATAATTATAGTCTCCACGTTAAAATAAAATAAAGCGTGGATTAGAGACTTTATCTTGATCATACTCATAGCGTCTTCCCATCCAGGATTCTCTTTAGTGAGAGAAGAAAGGGGCAGTTGGAAGGGGCCTGAGTTGCCCCCCATTGTTACCCTCACATGCTGGGTTTCCTTTCATCTGCAATTGTTTGTAGTGGAGAGGACTTGTAGGATGTGATTACCAGCCATATGGAATAGTTTTCCTCTTACACTAGCAGCTGAGAGATGAACACGTAGTGACTTCGTGCCTGGCACTGTAAATGATATTTTGCGTTTACTGACTTAATCCTCACAACACTTCTATGATGGAGTCCATTGCTTACCCCCATCTGTAGATGAGAAAACTGAGGCCCAGCCAGTAGGGAACGTACTGCTGATCCTGCCTGCCAATGGCAGAGCCGGAGTGAGAGCTCAGGCCAGCCAGTTTTTGAAGCAGTGTATTCAGCCTGGCCTCAAGTTCCAGAGTGCAGGTCAAGAAATGTTTTCTGTATAATACCACCGGTCAGGAAATTGGGATTATTATCCAAATACTTAAATAGCCACAAGGAAAACGAATTCCCACAAAGTTTTACTGACAAAATTCCAAGCATAGTAACAGTTGAGAATAATGTTTCTGGCAGTGTGCTTGGGCTGCCGAGGAACGTTAAGTACTTTTGCAGAAGAAACGCTTTCGTGTAGTTGAGGTTCAAAGTCAGTTTCCTGCCATCAAAGCTGGTCATAAGTATTCATTTATCAATGCTGATCTGTAGTGAGATTTTTTATCTTATCTTAAAGGTGTTGCCACATGCTTGAATTAACCCAAAAGAAGGTATTTTTGTTGTGTATAGTCATCATTTGGAAGGCTTTTGAGAGAACATAGGTGGGTTATTTCTTGGTATTTTCCTTTTAGCATGTTATTACATTGCTAATTAATCACTTTCATTTGAAGTTTAGATGGAAATGCCTAAATTCCACAGATAGATGCATATTTTTTAGAGTTGGAATTTCTTTTTCACTTTCATTAAGGTCCTTACCACCACCACCAGCAGGACTGGTGGAGCTGCAAGTTAAGCCTATGCCTATGACACTGGCATCTCATAGGCATCTCAGCTGCTGCACTTCCATCCAGATCCTGTTAATATACCCGGAAAGCAGCAGAAGGACTCAGATGGAATTCTGGACTCCTGATTTCAGCCTGACCAAACCCCAAGAGCATTGTGACCTCTGGGGAGTGAACTAGTGGATGGAAAATCAATCTCTCTCCCCTCTTCCTCTCACATAAGTCTTTTTCCAAAATACTGCTACAATTGTGTGTGAGAATGGAGACCTTGCTTATCTTTCTATTTACCAGCACAGGAAGTGTGTAAAATGACTTGATGCTAGTGATACAGTGTTGACATGAAAATGACTTAAATATTTTTCCTGTATAAACACTTGCCTTACCTTGTAAGTTTGAATTGAAATCTTTACTTGTGTCTGCCACAGATGCCAAATTCTAAAACCATTCGGGGTGAGGAGGAATCTCACATGCATTCTTTAGTGAATGAAGGCATTTCTTCTTTTTTACTAACAAATTTGAGTTCTTCTGAACTCATGATAAAAGTACTAAGGCTGAGCCTGTGAACTTCTGTGTGAAAAGGAAAAAGTAGGCACTTCAACTTGTACATCTGACAAAAGAAAGCAGGGCTATTAATGGTTAAATCAATGAGAACAAATTAAGTTCACCATTAACATTAGTAGTGCAATAAAATAAGATTGAGTCAGATATATTCTACATAGAATCAGTGTTGAATGAAGTAATAAATAATCATAGGTTTTGAACATCTTTCAATTTTATAGTTTTTGTAAAGTTAACCAAGTCTGCTCCACACCTATTTTATACTAATTATAAACCATCTTTTAAAAATTTTTTCTTAGATTGTTAGCATTATTTACATATTTGAGAGGGATGGACACCTATGTAGGTCTTAGATTAGAGTGGGGAGGATGGAGGTGTAGAGAAAGATGCCTGGGACAAATATTTCAATTTTTTCCTCATGTGTCCATAGGGAGGGAAAGTGAGGGGACCACTCCTTGCTGTCAAACTACATCAGCACCTGAGGATGAGGGGAGAGTGATTTGATGATACCTTAGGGACCCCAGTGTGGGGAAGAGTATTCCAAGGGTGTTACTTGAATAGTTTTGATAGTACTGTGACATTGTTGGCTTCATTGAGAATATCTTTCCAAAGTCTATTGGTTGACCAAACCCACCACAGTGTGCATTCATGGACACAGGAACATGTTGTAAAGCTTGGGCTGGAGAGTCATCCAACCTGTTTTACTTTCCATCCTCTGACAAGGCACTCTGCATCCTCTGCTGGAATAAATGGACTTGCCTGCCATACTGTCTGTGCATCTAGGAATGTTATCCACTGCACAGACATCAAAGACTGAGGAAGCCTAGTTCTGATACATGCACTCCAACGTTGGACTATGTATGTTGTTATTTTCCCTGAGACCGAGCTCCGAGTCTAGCCATCTGTAGTTGGGTACTGGAACTCCCCAAGAAACCTCACTTGGGGTGACCTCAGACTTGACTCCTGTGTGCGCCAGCTAGTGTAGGGTCAGGTTTGGTCTACCATCTGTACTAGCTAACACACATACCAGAATTATGCATCTACCTGATCAGTTCCACTCCCAAGCCCATCTCTCACATGTACTGATGAGTACTGTGACCTAGTTCAGCCCAGCCTGCCATAAGCCTGGCCTTCAAGCACATCAGCAGGTGCTACAACCTAATTAGAGTAACCCCTTAATAACACCAACAAGCTCATCCCCAGCCCTGGTTTTTGTATGTTCTGGCATTTGCTGCAGCCTAACTGTATCTGTCCCACATCCCATCTTGCTCTCGTACACACCTCTGGGTGTTGCAGCTTAGCTCAGCCCAGCCCGACCCCAAAGCCAGCCCACATGCTTACTGATGGTTACTGCCTCCTTGCCCCACCTGTGCTCATTAGTGGGAGCTGCAGCCTAGAAGAGTAGTGCTCAGTTTCCCTACCAGGCCCTCTCCTAGCCCCAGGAGGTACTGATTGACACCCAAGCGCTGTGCTGCAAGTTGGTGCTGTGGCCTAGCTTGGCTGGCCTGCACCCATTCTGGCTCTTGTGTATGCCAGTGGGTGCCAAAACCTAGCCCAGCCTGGCATATCCCCAGAAGGGCCCACCTCTAGTCCCAGCTCTCATTATCACCCGTGGGAACAGCAGCCCATCAAGGGAGTTCACTAAGTTCCCAAACTAGCCTTGCTGCCAGCCCTGGCTCTGTGTGCCAGCAGGTGCTGCATCCCTGTCTGAGATACCCCACCCCAGTCCCAGCTCTCTCAGGTGGGTGCAGCAGTCTAACCCAGCCTGGCCCACCACCCCCAACCTAGCTCTCATGTGAAGTGGTAGATGCCACAGCCTAGCACAGCCTGTCCCACACCCATTTATGGCTCTCATAAGAGTTAGCAGGTATTAACAGCTGGCATGGCCTGCCCCCAGTCCCAGTTACTGTGCTCCCCAGTGGGAGCTGATGCTAGCAGGGGAGTTCCCCTAACAGGCCCAGGATCTCAGGGTGCAAGCCCCAGCTCGACATAGTCTGCCCTCAGTCTTGGCATTTCCATGTGCTGGCAGGCACTGCAGCCTTTCCCAGCCCGGCTTCCTCCCAGTACCAGCTGCTGTGAATTTCAGGTGGGTTCCGATTAGGTGGGTTCCAAGGTCCACCCTGGCTTGGCCCATCACTACTCCCCACCTTTCCAGGCAAACCAACAGAATCTGCAGTAGTTCCACAGAGGGTAGCCCATAGGTTCCCTACAGAATCTGGCTCCAGATCCAGTCCTCTTGTCTTCTTGTGGGTATTGCAGCACAGCCTGATGTGGCCCATTCCCTGCCCTGACACATGTGGGCTGTGCGTGTGGTGGGGGAGGAGGCGGTGCTAATTTGTCCAGCCCAGATCTTCCATATGGGTGAGTGCCTTGGCCTGACCCAGACATTCATCAGATTTCTCTCCTCTAAACCACCCTGTCTCAGTTCCCTCAGCTATCTGTGATTGGTCCATGAAAGCCCCCGAAGTCATTCATCCATTGTCAAATATGCCCTCAGCCTCTGTCACTCCAATACATCCCCAGACAACATTTCCCAGGGCAATCTGCAGTTCCCCCTTCCGGGGGCTGGAGTGATATGTACTGGCCCAGCATTCCCTGCCTTCCCCACATAGCTTTGAAAAAGAAAAATAGGATATAATAGACAACTGTACTGGCACCCTGGTATAGTTAATATTAATTTGGCATTAACCAGGCCAAGAATACCCACCAACCTTGGCTGCTTTTCTCCCAGCAATGTAACACTTGCCTAGGTACGTGGCAACTTAGGCAGTTGCCTACAGCTAGGGAATTGTAAGTTATCTTTGCAGATTCTGTTTCAGGTTGTACACAATTTTTGCTTTCTTTTTAGAAAATATTCTTGTATGTAATTGTTCCACACAGACAATTCATAGACAAACACTTCAGTCACTTTAGCCTTGATATTTTCTTATTAAATAAACAGTAGCTAGGCAGTATCAAAACATCTATTGAATAAGAATAAAGAAAACTTGGTATCATTTGCCTTTATCATTATTACTTTCTATGAATGTTCCAAATGTTCTCGATGCTTTGAGAAACTTTTAAGACAAATGTTAAGAATCTTTACTCCTGGGATTGACTTGTTGGTGAAGTAGGTTAGATCACTGCTGTGATGCCAATATTTGGTGACTGTTGGTTCGAGTCCTGGCTGCTGCACTTCTGGCCCAGCTCCCTGCAAATGCACTAGGGAAAAGCAGCTGAAGATAACCCAAGTACCTGGGTCCCTGTCACTCACATGGGAGACCTGGATGGAGTCCCAAGCTCCTGACTTTGGCCTATTCCAGTCCTGACTGTTGCAGACACTTGGGGAATCAATTAGCAAATGGAACATATTCTCTCTCTCTCTCTCTCTCTCTCTCTCTCTCTGTGTGTGTGTGTATAACTATGCCTTTGAAACAAACAAATGTATTCATAAAAGAAGAAACCATTAGTCACTTTTTTCCCTATCAGTTAATTAGCTCATCATTAACAAAAGGTTTTCCTTGCTTTGTCATAAATCAAGTTGTTTGACTACAACTTAAATTCTTTTTTAGTTTTATTTATTGGAGACATTTAGAAAAAACAGAGACAACCCTATCTTCCAGTTCACTCTTCAAATGCTCGTAATGACTGAACTGGCCCAGATCAGAGTGAGGCCATGGCAAGAGCCAGA